CGAGAAGCTTCGGGGTCATTAGTTCCACAAAGTCCTCAAAGTCAACGCTGCCGCCAACTACGGTTAAAATATAGAATTAGATATTAAGACGTGACGCAGTTGATTTGAATTTGAACTGCTGAGGTCAAAATGACCTGCTTTCAAAGCTGCACTGCTACGTTTCTACACATTAGCTCCCAGTGAAGACCTACGGCTCATGTTGATTTTCTGGCTCAGTTCAATCAGCTCCATCTCTGTGGGCATGTAACCCATGGTCCTCATTAAGTTCCCCAGGTCCTTACAGTTGATGAGCCCATCCTTGTCCTTATCGAACTCATTAAATGCATCACGCAACTCTGTATGGAAACGGTAAAAGACAGTCACCCTATAAACAGTATTTTCACACTGCTCTCAATAGAAACATTAGCATAATACATAGTATAAATTCTATATTTTATATTATTATAAAAGCTCTTTATTTATTTATAAACCGTTTTTATAAATATTTTAAAAATAGTGATAAGAAAACTCACCGTCTATCTCATCATCGGACAGCTCCCTGGGCTGCATTGGAGGAAAAACAAAGCGGGTTAATACCTGTGATTTTTTAACGATTTTTTTAATGATTTTTTTTTTTTTTTCAAAAATGGTGTGAAATTGAGATTGAAAGAGCCAGGAATAGGAACAAATAAATAAACAAACTACACTAGGATAATAAATAAACTAACTTAAAACATAAGAATAATGAGAAAATAATATATAAAAGCTGTGGTTGTGCAAAAATGAAAGCAAGATTGTTGCCAGAAAATGCCCACGTTATATGGAATGTAAGTAAAAAAGAGTGGATACTGTTACCTGGTACTACTGGTTTACATTGTATGGTACTGTCACTTTGTGCCATACCTGTTTATTTAGTTATTTAAATGCCACTTTAAATATGTCATGAAAAATGCTTTTGGCTTAAAAATACATTTGGTTGTTAATTTAATTCAGTCTGTACTTCCGCCAGATGAAATGACACGGCACAAATGAGATTGAGATTAACCAGTAATATTTTCCTAATGTAATGTATTTAAGTGGAGCTTATGTCTCTACCGGGAGGGTCACGGTCCACTGTCCAAATTGGAACTAAACAAAAACACGGCTTAAAATTGTACGGGAACATCCCAGGGGTCAGTATATGTTTCCACGTAAAGTCATTTGCCGTTTGAACGGCATGTAAATCCTCTACAGGTCATAATGAAATGTCAAAATACAGAAATAAAAGTTTACCAATATGTTTATCTTTAAAAAAATCCCACACATTTTCTTTTATTAATTACTAATAATACCATTGAAATAATTCCTATTTCAGCTACTGGTAGCTGTATACAAGTAATGGTATCAACCTATTAATGGAAAATTTTGAAACGAAACGAAACTTTGAGAGTTTACTTACAGTGTGTTTTCCTCCTCGCAAGAAAATGCACGCAGCTTTGAAACTCATTTCTGCAAAGGGGAAACACAAACAAGGGTTGTTGTTGTTGTTGTTTATTAAACGACAGGTAGTGTCAAACATGTCAAAAATGTTAATGTTAATGTTTGCATGATCAACTTTTGTCAGAAGCCAAGTATTCTCACAACGATCACGGCCAATCTTTAATGAGATTAAACAGTTTGAAATAAAACAGCAAAAATGAATGAATGAAACGAACAATGAAACTTTACATTAATCCGATTCAAATTCAAACAATAAAGTGAAATAAAAAAACGTTGCTGCACGGTTGCGTGGAGTCTCCTTACTGTATCTGATATCTGTGTGTCAACCAATGGCATCATAAATGTCCTCTGACAATCGTCCGCAGCACCTCTGCCTCTCTTCGCTCTCTTTAATCACCTCTTCAGTGTCAGTGGTCAGGTCCCGGAGGCTGATGTTCTGTGAGAGGAGGAGTGGCCGCACAGAGGGGTTTATACGCCGGTGAGGAGGAGTCTGTGGTGATTACAGCAGATTCATGTATGAGCTACAGTGAGCCGACCTCACCGTGAATGCCTCGGCAGACATCTGAACCCACAGCTAATAGAAGAAATGGAAGGCTATCAGTTTTCAGGTTAGGGGACACACACACACAGGTGCTGGTTTACACATCCTTTCTGTGTGGCTTTTATGATATTGGTTTTAGTCTGACTGAGTCTATTTCGCACTGCATATTGACAATACTGTTTGCATTCATTACCATCCTCACAGTCCAGAGTGGAAATTTAAGGATGCTTTTTGCTGGGGGAAAAATACATCACAGGTGTATTTCCCTATTGGAGGCCATCATTGTGCACCGCCATTATTTTATCTTGCAGCCCAAACAGAAAAGATCAACAATATTTGTAGGGTAACAGTGCTTTTTTTAAATGATTACAATCAAAATGTATGGTTTGTTTTTATGTTCAGCCTGAAATCGATCTTTATAAAATCACAAATAACTAGCAATGTAAACAACCACAACTGTTTAATTCCCTTTGTAATTTTAAGTGAAAGTGAACTGCCTGTCATTGTGACACAGCACACCACCTCACATAACGAAATGTGACCTCTGCGTTTTGACCCATCACCGAAGTGAGCAGGGGACAGCGGTGTCCGCTTCCTTAACCACCAAGCCACCACTGGCCCTCAAATTCGAATATAAAGAAAATAGACTGTATGCTATTGATTTAATATAACTAAACCATTGACCAGTATTAATTTATTGGACTAATGATTTTCATTATAATCCAGAGCTGAGAACAGACACAGTGTAATACGTTTATTTGTGTTCCTGTTAAAACATTCTCAAAATATTTGAGTACGTTTAATGATGTTAAACTAACTAAAGAAAAACTACTAACTAAAAAAAAACTAAAAAAAAAAAATTTTTTTATTTTTTTATCTTAATATTTTAATTTTATTTTTATCTTATGTGTATATATTCTCCCTTAATATGTTTACTTTGCCCACTGCGTGCACCCTAAGGGAAGCTTTAAAATCTCGTTGTACCTTGTATAATGACAATAAAGGCTTTCTATTCTATTCTATTCTAACAATAAACAGGGTATTAGAAATTATAATTGAAATAATAATAAAAAAAAAACCTCACAAACACCCTAAAAATTCTTTAAACCCCCCCCCAAAAAAAGTATTTTTTGAATTCACCAATACATTTCACTTTTAGCCACAGAGTGACGACACAGTTTACGCTTTGGTGTCCTCTGTCGTGGAAGCGTAGAAGAAGAGGCAGCATTTCCGCTTTCATTTCGGCTCCCGCCCCGCTCCGCCATCATGAAGTCCTGAACAAAAACGGATGACAGTCGACTAAAATGGGGATAATTCGAACTGGATGTTGATCCCGCCGACGGCACGAACGCGATGGCAATGACAAGCGGGGAGCGGAGCGGGGTCGCGAAAATTATTGAACTAGTTTATCGATGCACGCAGACGGCATCTGTCGTTACGTTATTTTAAGTCGGTGCTGTCGCTAACAGCGGTTGAGGCTAAGCTGAGGTTTCTCCTCCGGACACGGTCCTGCTAGCCAGAAGCCGTCAGTCAGCAGCTAGCTGTCACCTCACCTCAATAAGTACTCCACTGATGTCAAGCAACGCAGATGTTCTAAATGACCGTTTAAGTGCGTGCATCAGGATGAAGGGGACTAGTAACAAAATCGACAGACAAAATGCGGCGCGTTCGCAGTGAGTAGACGCCAGTGCAGAGGAAAGGGAAGTGAGACCAATATTTTCCAGCCAGGCCGGTGAGCTAGCTCTTGAGCTAGCTACAGTGGATTCCAAAAGCCACGGTAAGATGTCATAAATCATTCAGCTGATCCTTTCAGCACCCTCTCTATCTCTGTTAGTTGGGAAATGGCCAACACTAGCACCAATAACTACTCTTATTATGTTTAAGTACTGGAAAGGTTGACATTGATGCAGGCTTGTTGTTGGCCTGTATCCTAAACGCACTGTGATAGAGTTGTGATTGTCTGCTGCCGATCATAGTACATGTCACGCATTTCTTTGGTCTAATTGACCAACCAAGTGCATCTTCTACCATCTATGTAGCTGAGCTCAGAATGATGCACACATAACGTTTCATTAATGGCCAGACTGCAGCCAGGAGAAATGTCTCACCATTCAAATTATATATATACATTTCTCTCTCTATCTTTTTATTTTTTATTTTTTTGTAGTTATTCAGGCTTATAAAAACTAAGGAGAGATAAAATAATTTCAGAACATCCTTCATCCTCAGTGTATCTGGACAAATGGAGCGCAGCCTAGAGACGTGGCTGTAAGCCACAAAGACCTTGTCATTTGTAACAGGAAACACAAGTTCCTCATTGACAACACAACAAAACAATCACGAGAGACATGGCCACAAGTTCCTCATTGACAACACAACAATCACGAGAGACATGGTTTTATGATCAGATCGCATTGAAAGTGGAAAAATTAGAATTAACAAAGACAGACTTACATGTTGTGGAATACCAATGTCATCAGCATTTTAAAAACACTTGCTTAATGTTTATTGTCAATTGTAGGAAAACTGGATGATGTTTAACATACATTTTACGTTGCATTTTGCATTTAAGTTCCAATAATGTTGTTTTTAAAAACACATTAAATTAAATAGAAACTGGACTTTCTATTTAATTTTTGTCCAGTAGGAGCACAACCATGGGCACCATTGTGCTTGGTGCTGATTTTTAAAAAAAAAAAAAAAATTATTATTCCATTGTGAAAATAATGCAGTAGCTTACAGCAGGACTTGTTTACTGGTCAGATCATGCAGTGATACAGTTATTTAGTTCCCCAATTCCTTTAGTCAGACAGTGGAGCACTTCCATTGTACAACCACAGAGGTAGGAATATACTGTACGTTTTATTTCTACAGTTTTGGGGTCAGACTTAAAACACCCTTCAGCTTCAGCGATCACTGCAGCAGTGTGAAGTTTGTGTTAACCCACTCTAAGAGAGAGCCCCTTGATTGGAAGAGCTTGTTGCTTTTACATTGCTGGTCATGAACTGTAACCCCTTTTTAATGAGTTTATCTTCTAACATTTTTCTCTCCTACCCATTTTCGTCTTCTCTGTTTTTTTTCGCTCTTTTTTTTAATGAGTTTATCTTCTAACATTTTCTCTGTTTTTTTGCTCTTTCATCTGTTGTGTTTTGCCAACACGTGAAATGTTCTGTTTGCTTGTGATGTGTTGATGTGTAGACACAGGAGATTGACACAAGCAAGCACACACTCGCCTACAATACCTCATTCTCCATCTGTTATTCGCTATTGACAGATGAAATGCAAGGTGTAAGGAGGCGTTGCGGACAAAAACTCGTCTTCTACCAGTGCATTTTGACAAAACAAAGACGAAAAACATCAACGTATTTTCCCGTTTTCCATACGTAACGCACGGCAATTACAATTAGTAATCTTGATGTACATCATAGTCCTCTTACTTTCCCATATTTATTATCGCTATTATCTATGTTGCTTGTACCACATGGTGATATGATATGGATCCTTTTTTTTTATTTCATGCATATAGTTGATAATTATTTGGTTTCATACATTTAAATGTTTCTATTTCGGACAAATTGATCTCCATGTGGCTGTATATTTATGTTGACGTGAGGATAAGAAATGCTAAGACAGGTCTTAACAAACTAAGAACAACAGTCCTGGCTCTTTTTAACGGCCGTTTTATCTCAAATCAAAATAAATTATTGCATCTTAAGGTTTGGGTGCCCGGGGGTTAACGCAATCTTTTTTTGCATCTGCTGCTAACGAAAATACGCTCTACGTCAAGTTGGTTTTAAATTAGCATGTCTTTGAGAGTTTTGTCAAGTTTATCATTTTTTATTTTCTTTTCTAATGTGCCCTGTTTACAAAAATAGGTATATCTGTGGTGAAAGTCTTACAACCCAGCCTTATTTTAATGATATTTTGCCTTGTTTGTTCGAGAAACATTTGTTTGCATTCGGATTGAACCAAGAAAATAAAACTGTCTTGTCTGCTTGCTCTCATAAATGTAAAGTCCTCACAATCTCCCAATGGACTCTGCCAGCTATAAAACACTGCCCTCCAGTTTATTGCAGAACCCAACATAATGATGTATCAGGTATCGGCACATACACCGATGAACGTACTCGCGTTGGTTTGTTGGCTCTGAAGAGTGTTGTGTCTATACACATTTACTTTATTAACGACTTCTGCAGCCCTTTTTTTCCTTAAACAAATGTTTGAACCACATGTAGAGACACCCCGAGCTCTTGCTTGTCAAGACTACGAGCTATTTTTTCAGCCATCTTGGGCCAATTAGGGGGTATTTGATATACAAATACGTGCAAATTCGAGTGTGTTGTTTAGCTCTGTCCCTGGAAGCAGTGATGGGTGTGGCTGTTTTACCATGCCCAGGAAACGAAAACCTCGGGAGTTATGCAACTAAAAAAAAAAAATAAGAGCCTTGTCTTCTGCTGTTAAATGTTAAGAATGATATTTACAGATTATCTGTGGAGGGTCCTATATTTTACTTCTCAACAATTCCTGGTGCAGAGGTTCTCATTAATCTTAGCTACTTAGAACTTAGAGCTTCACTTGCCTTTAATAGAGCAACACATTCACAGAACAGTGTATATTTATACAGACATAGATGCATTTTCGGTTTTTTCGACCAGAAGACTTTTATCACCCAAACAAACACGGCCGAAACGGGAAGTTATGATAGCACACGCAAACACCGCGCCGCTACTGCCAACATGTCTCTGCGGTGTGGACCCTATTTCAATATATCTAAAAAAAAAAAAGATCTACTGAGAGCTATTTGCAAAAGGTGTAATGCTGAAATTTCAAGAAGGAGGTGTATGTGCAAAGATTTTTTTTTTTCCACGTCGGGTTTAATTTATTACCTGAAATCCAAACATCCCGATCACTGTGCTGAATATGAGATGAAGGAAAGCCTCATTGCGCAATACAGGAGCATACAGCGCTGCATGCACTTCACACCATCCATCCATTTTCATCCGCTTATCCGTTACCGGGTTCGCGGGGGCAGCAGTCTCCATGACCGCCACCCAGATCTCTCTGCACCGTGCCAACCCCCCTGAACCTTCCTGCGGGTGGTGAGTCCACTAGAAGGTACCAACTGCCCTAACTGGGATTCGATCTTGCCCAGGAGGTGAACCCTGGGGTTTCACACCAATGACAGAGACATTGCTTCTGGGCCAAAACGCCACCACTTCACACCGGCGTGTCTTAATAGAGAACACTCTCTCTCTCTCTCTTCTTGCCCAGTTTGAGCAGCTAACTGAAGAGACCAGCTTCTCTGATGCATCTGTAGCAGATGTTATCCCTTTAAGCGAAGCACTAAAGCGTCTTCTAAGCATAGGAGTGAAAACAATGCAAAAGTCCACTTTCAACGTTTCACTGAGATCTATCTGGATCCTCTGCACTTCGTCACGACCGTACTTGAACCGCGTTATAAAGATCATTACTTGGAAGCGGGAATAAAGCAGCGCGCACGAGAAATGGTCCAGCAATTGGCTTAAAAAATGCACTTGTGTGTTTGTCTGAGAGAACATACAGTATTTAATTTTATAATCTTTTAGCAGGCCTGTACGTTATCATTTAATGTACACATAGGTAGGATCAGGTTTAAGTTTATATTGTCCATTGTTGGGTTGGATTGTTGGAATGTGCTAAATAAATATTTTCATAATTGTTTAATTTTTTTTTATTCTTTGAAACATTAATATTAATTTATGCAGTGCCTTGATTTTATTGAGGTTTAGTTCACAGTCATAGCCATAAATGCAATAGTGCTAATAATTGGCTTAATAATTTCTTTCAGTTTTTCGGTTTTCAGTGTTGGTTTCCTCGTTTTTCGGTTTTCGGTTTCGGCCAGGAATTTTCATTTCGGTTCATCAATAATATAGATGTGTGTGTTTTTGTGTACTTCACATATGTCGGGAAGTGACGGTTGCTTACCCCGTGTGTCTCTTCATCACCTTCCAGGCGCTGGCCATGCCGTCGAGTGTGCGGGCCGGGAGCCTGAAGGACCCGGAGGTGGCAGAACTGTTTTCCCGGGAGGATCCTGAAAAGCTCTTCACAGACTTGAGGGAAATCGGCCATGGGAGCTTTGGAGCAGTTTACTTTGTAAGTCATGTCTAAAGTTGGCTTAAGTGAAGTGTGACTTGGATTTTTTTTTTTTTTATCATCATGATACTAAATTTCTGGCTGTGTTTGTTTTACTATTCTTTCACTTTCGCATCAAAAAAACCTTAAAAAAAACAAATATGAATCTAAAATAGAAGACAAACTTAAATTATTTTTAAATGAAAAATAGCATATATGATTATGTGTGTGTGTGTGTAGGTCCTGAGTCATCCTGGTCATCTTATCCAAAAATAGTTACATCGAGGGCAACTGGATGAAGCAGGCTTTTTTTTTGAAGACGTTTCACCTCTTATCCAGGAGGCTTCCTCGGGTTTTGGATAAGAGGTGAAACGTCTTCAAGAAACCTACTCCATCCAGTTGCCACCGATGTAACTATTTTTTGGTGTGTATGATTATGGTTTTATTTTACAAAAAATGTTAGTAAGCACACCCAAATAATATTACTACAGTGGAACCTCGAGATAGGGGCATAATCTGTTCCGAGGACCGAGCTCGTAACTCGAGGTGCTCGTAGCTTGAATGATTTTTTCCCCATTTAAAAATTACTCCATTTCGGAGCTCTAAAAAACTCCCTTATTAGTGTTAACAACAATGGAAAAACATGTTTTTAATTGCTATAGAGACATACCTACACAAAAAAATATAGTATATAAGGATTCATGTGATATAAAATAAAATGTGGTTTTAATTATGAGTTCTTACCTACATGAAAGACGATACAGTAGCGGCTAATGGCAGCATGTGCGGAGGAGGAGGAGGAGGGAGGGAAGAGAGTTGGGCCGTACGTAAACACTTGATTCCGTAGCGTACCTTACCCGTACACTACGTAACTTACAAAAATTTAGAATTAGCTTAATTTGCGCTTTTTTTTTTTTTTAAACTTTAGGATGGTACATATAGTGGATGTACGCATGCTCGATCACTCACGCGGGCACCACGCTCATATTTTTTGACGCACTACCATCCTTACACTCACTTTCTTAGGACTCATCACTATTGTGAAGAATAATGCCCAAAATAGAGAGAATGTCACAGACGCGATGCTTAAGGAAGTCGCCGCGTGGGCTGCTCCGAGTGCTAGGCCACCTAGCGTCGGCGTTTGTAAGCGTGCTCGTATCTCAAATCTTTACTCGTATGGCGAAGCAAAAATGTACTCAAAGGTTTGCTTGTATCTCGAAAATACCCGTATGTCGAGGTGCTCGTATCTCGAGGTTCCACTGTATTTATTGATTTACTGGAAATACTTTGTCAACTTTAAAAACAACTGCACGTTATCAGACTTGAAAGATGTAGTTATTGTCTCTTGTTCAAAAATGTCTTTCCCATCAGGCCCACGACATCCGCACCAATGAGGTGGTGGCCATCAAGAAGATGTCCTACAGTGGCAAACAGTCTAACGAGGTAAGGCCTGCCAAAACCAAAACCCCTACTCTGCACGACCGATGGTGACCAATGAGATGCGGCTTTTGAGGGTTTTTTTTTTTTTTTTTTAATTCATGTATTGTTGTCGTGACGTCACAGAAATGGCAGGATATCATCAAGGAGGTGAAGTTCCTCCAGAAACTGCGCCACCCAAACACCGTTGAGTACCGGGGCTGCTACCTAAGAGAACACACAGCATGGGTAAGTGTTTGAAAATAGAGTCTTGATCATATGTCTTGGTTTGCGCCAACCTTTTGGATGGAATGTGTTTTTTAACAGCGGTCATCATTTACTTCATTCAAAGTATCCGTGCGTCATTCCACGCGTGTTTTATTGTTAAAATAATTCATCCTTAATGATCCTTTAACAATGCTTGCTGTACCAGCATCAAATATTTTCTGCCTTTAAGGATTCAAAGAGTTTTTAATTGTCATTTCAACATGTTATAAACATGAAGCATTGTTACTTTCAGTGTACAGTAAACCCTTGTTTTTCGCGGGGGTTACGTTCCAAAAAGAACCCGTGATAAGCAAAATCCGTGAAGTAGAAATCTTTATTTTTTTTACAATTAAATACTTAAAGAAAAAGAAGAGAAAGAACGAACAAACCATTTTACAGTCTCAACCATTTGTTTCACAAATAAAGTAAAATAAAAGTACTTTAGAAACGTTTCAACAAATAACTTCTGTAATGTACTGTCAAATAATAATTTTAATCATCAACGTGAACAGAAGGCTTCGGGAGAAAATTAAAAATGATTTTTCCCTACCGCAGGTACTTTTGCCGGTCCAGAGCGTTTTGTCGACATTATGGGGTTTGATAAACTCGAAATTGCAAGAGAATTTGCACGTACGTAATGTCAATTTGGCAAGCTGTTTTACGTACGTGTACATATTAAACCGCAACGTTATTGGCGCACAGGTAGAGAAGAAGCGGAGTGACTTTTTAGCCAATCAGAATGCAGAACACAATGCACGATGCAAATCCGTGAAGTAGCGAAACCGTGAAAAGTAAACCGCGTTATAGCAAGGGATCACTGTACTTTATTTTATTTCATTTATGCGTTGAGCAGGAACTTTCATCCAAAGCAGCTCATAAGAGGCGAATAAACAATCAGCTACGTAGAGGAGGCCGGTGTTCTCTGGATAGTTGTTTTATGTAAATAAGATCTTGCTTGTCTACAAATACTTGACACTGTGCCTTATAAAGAGGACAGTCGACGCCCTTGTGATCACAGAAAACACCATGGTGAACTTAATACAGTTGATTGATGTGTTCCCTCTCTCCTTTCGCTCCCTCGGTACATCACAGATTTTTGATTTTTTTTTTTTTTTTAATCCGTTCCACGGAAGTTTGCTATATGGCGGTATTTCACGGTAAAAATTTTTTTTTTTTTCATTTTCAATATTTTCATATGAAAAAAAAAACATTTTCTAAACTAAGAAAAATTAAACAAAAAATAGCAAAAGTAAAAGACATCGCTGGTAGCTTTGTTGGCCTAGAGGAGATCGAACACTCATCGACTTCTCAGGCTTCTGTTACGGAGCCCAAACGAAGACGCTGACACAGACGACAGTTAACAGCCTTTATTTTTTCTTTACAATAATCTGCTCTCCTGCGCTGTGCCCGGGTTGGTCTGTCCGTCTTGGCCAGTAAGGAGGGGCTTGATTACTTAATTTGCGCTCACCTGCGTCGCCACTCTCGTGCTCCCCCTCGTGCGGCTGAGCACTAACCACCGCCGTGTCGTGTTCTTGGCTTATTTACGCAACATATATGTGTTATATTTCCATTCTACAACTCTACCGTGCCTATGATTGTGTGGCAAAGGGTAATACAGTCTCGGGAGGGTTGATAACAGACCATAAAATCTCGCCCCTACTTCGCAGATTTTTGACAACTTTTACAACAGTCATAAAAGAATTCTTCCCGTTTGTTTGTTTGTTTTGTCAAATGTGATGCATGCGAATTAAGAATGAAGTTGAATAGTTTTTCTTCCATCTCTTCATCTTCCAGCTGGTGATGGAGTACTGCTTGGGCTCGGCTTCTGACCTCCTAGAAGGTAAGTGTGTACGCGATTGAAGAACTACAGTTTTTTTTTTTTTTTCCCGTTTCAGCCATTAGAATACCTCACAACCTT